ACTGGTGATTTGTGCTTGCTCTGAGTGTTCCTAAAGGCAAGAGGGATGTTTAAGGGCTTCCCTGAATTAATTCCTGTTCAAACTCAAGTTGAGGTTTAAGCCAGACCTTGCAGGGCTGCAGGTGCCTGCCCCATGGCCATGGCACCAGGGAGCTGAGCTCTGAGCCCATCCTTGTCACAGGGTAGGGGGTTCAGCTGGGCACGTGGGGGAGCCTGCCAGTGGATGTGTGGGGTGTTCATCGTGCTCAGCCCTGAGCAGGGGCACTGCTTTGCTGGGTGGGATGACATCAGGTGTGGGGACGAAACTTGCTGAGCATCTGGACCCTCCTGGGACCAGCATGGGTTAGGTTTGTGACGCTGAGTAAAACTGGCACGTCAAAATCTCCAGCACAAACAGCATGCAGAGAGTTTTCCTGCTTTGGCAAGCGGGTCAGTGGGATCCGGGGAAAAACAGAGCCTGAAGGAGTGGGTGTCTGAGCCTTGTGATGAGCTGAGATGATGTACCCGACATCCTGCTCAGCCTGGGTGCTGTCTCCTATTTTGGATAAGACCCCTTTGCTCCTGTGAGCTGGTTGTGTGGGGGTGCTGGAATCTATTTCCTGCCCCATCTGCTTTGGTGCTGTTGGGCATCAAATTTTTGAAGCTGACCTGTGCTTGTTCTTGTTGATGGCATCCTTCGGATCATTTCCATCTCCAGGGGATGGGAAGTCTGGGGGGGGCCTTGTTGGTGGTTTTGTGTGTTTGTTTGTTTGTTTGGGGGTTTTTTGTCTTTTTTAACTTAAACCTGGTATGTCTATTTGAAGTCAAAACATTTGAAATATACCCCCTCAGAATTAAAATGGCCTTGCATAATTTCTATATTAAGATTTAAACCCACCATAATGTCTCAGATTTACATAAACCTAACATTTAAACGTAAGATGTTTCCTATTAACATGCAAAGAAAGCTACAACTCTGGAAATTCTCTGGCTAAACACATGAATTACACTTAATTGCAAACCATTTTAGATCAGAAGAGCAACAGCTATCATCAGTCCTTTCTTAGGCAAAGGTGTAGCTGAGGTGAGGTCTCTTCTAAGTCTTTTGATCATATTATGATTAGCCCCAATTGGCTCAAGTCACTAATTATGGAGATAATTTTCTTTGTGTGATGGCTCTTGTTTAAATGCAAATCATGCTGGAAGGTTTCTTTTGTAGCCAGTGCACCTATTAAAATACTTTTTTCTGCATTGTGAATTGAATTCCAGTTCTGATTCAAAAGCAGTTTGACACAAATTGGAGGTTAAATTAATCATCTAAACAATAAGAAATGCAAAAAAAAAAAAATTAGCAATAAGTATAGTTGCTAATATGGTGTTGCATCAGCATAAAGAAATTAGAATTTACTGGATGCTTTAACTGGTGGTAATTGTTACCAGGCAATCAGAATCAGTCTTTTTATTTGGGGAAAGATTAACAGGTAACAAGGATTATACAATAGGGTTAACAACAGCTCCTTAAATGGAAATGTTTTGGCTGCAGTCAGTGGCTCCCAGGTCAAACTGCTATTTAGATCATACCTCTAGTTTGCATCGTGTTCCCTCTGATGTTTTCTGCTCTTTTAGTGCCCAAGCTGGGTTTCAGATGCATCGTTTTGGAGGTGAAGTGGGGACCTGACATTGCTGTCACCCACCCTGGCTCCAGAGCTGCAGGTCCCCTTCCCTCTTACCACCCCAATCCCAGGGCTGGGGGTGGTGTGTGGATCATCTGGTCTAGAAGGGAGAACCCCAGCAGTGCACCAATGCAAACAGCTTTGTCACAGGTGGATCTGGCTCCCTCTTTTCAAAGGGACAAGTTTTTGGTGTATTACAGAAAAGGATCTCGGGCCACTTCTCTGTTGGCCTCAAGGGTGCATTTATGTTACGAGCAGAAAACTCCTCCAGACCTTGGGGAGGTCCAGCTGAGCCTCAGTGCTGAAGAAGGGATGTCTTCTGCTCTGAGGTGTTACAGGAAAGGAACTCTGTCTCCTGATGTTTAAGGAATCCACTCCCTTTCTTATGCAAAGCACATGGCAGCAGTAACAGAAGGCATCAGCAACCTCCCTCTCATTTGGGGTGGAACTGTTTGACTGCACTAAAATTACGACAAGTGATATTCGGGATATAAATCAGGAACACTAATTGGAGATGATGCCAGAGGAGGGGTGTCTGAGGGACAGAGAGAAAGGTGATGCTGGCATATGTCTCATTCTCTGTGCAAAGGACTGCAGGAAAAAGGAGAAGGAGAGAGGGCCAAGCTGAAGCCATGCAGAATTGCTGGGGATTTCTCGTGTTTGCTGTGCCCTACCTTGGTGGCAGAGAACGTCCTGCTTTGCACCCAGTGCCAGACTTCCATGGGATGAAATTTCCAGTGTGGTTGTGAACATTATTGCCAGATTCTTCTGTCTGCCGAAGAGCTTAATTGTGCAGTCTTTGCTTTGATCTATCCTATTTTCTTTCCTAAAAGTGTTCTAAAATACCAACATATCCAAAACTGCCTATTCTGACTCTTTAGTGGGGAAACAGCAATGTGCTCATACCCTGGGGACTCTGAATGTCACCAGCTGAATTGGTAGAAAAGATTGAAGTTAGATGGATGGCAGTTTGAAAATTGGTCTGGGCTACTCGTAGTTGCTTAGTGTCCACTGGAGAAAATGCAGTTTTGTGTCAAAACTGTGCTCTTTCTCATCAAAAGATCAAAATGAGAGTTAATCTCCCACCCTCTTGTGATTGTGTGTGTGTGTGAATTGCTCTTTGGTGGGGTGCTGGGTTGAGGTTTTGTGGTGGGTTTATTTCTAGATCAGCAAGTGCCTGTTGGTTATGATCTAGGGGTTTTAAATAAGGCCTCCAGAGATACACAGCTATTTCTTACTGTCTTCTTACATGCTATGAAGCCATTCAAAGGAAAACTGACAGCTGTTTCCTGCAAAATACCAATTTTTCTTTGCTTTAGTTGGTAACATTCAGTATTACCAGAACTGGGTTTTAAATATTCTTTCCTTCCATTTTTGGGGAGTTCTATTTGCTGGTTCCCAGTTCCATCCTATTTAAGTAGTTTTGGGGTAAGGGACAGACATAGCCTGTCCCCTCATCTCTGACTCTTTCCCTTAAACCATATAATAATGGCCAGTCTTCGCGAGCGAAGATCCGGGGAAGGTCTTTCCACCTTCCAGCCTGCGCATTGGATTTTTTAGGTGAGACACAGTGTGCGCGGAACTGAGCCCACCCTTTAATCCTAAGGTTCATCTGCCGGGGCCAAGCGAGCTTGGACGGTGGCAGCGAGGTCCTTAGGACGTAGGTGGGTTGCCTTTAAGGGCTAACGAGCCCCACCTGCCCGGGAGTGGCCCTGACCGGGAATCGAACCCGGGTCTCCGCGGTGATAGCGCGGCGCCTTTACCACTAGACCAGCAGGGGCTCCATGGGAAGAGTAAAAGCTAGAAAACTTGTGGGTTGAGATAAATACAGTTTAACACATAAAGCAAAAAATGAACATGCAGCAAAAGCAAAACAAGGAGCTCATTCACCACTTCCCAAGGGCAGGCAGGTATTCAGCATCCTCAGGACAGCAGTATTGTTTTGGTAACCCAGCATGTCCTTTGGTGCAGCATTTTCTCAAATATGGCTCAGCCACAGCATCAGACTGCTGAGGCTTTTTTGGGGACCAGTTCAAACTCTTGGGTTCTCATTCCTGTTCTCCCCTAAGACAGTTTTCTTCCTGTTTTATTCCTGTTTTATTTATTTATTTTTCATTTTCAGAAACACCTTCCTTATTGCATTTATCTGTCACATGCCTAAAAGTGATCAGATCCCACGAGCTTTAGGATGATTTAGTGTAACTTGTGGGCTTAACTTTGCAAAAACGGTCATGCTGCCCAAATAACCTGATATCTGTGGAATCTTTCAGGACTGAGTTTGAACCTTCTGGAAATCTGTCTGGCAGACTCACATTTTTCAGTGTGGCAACAAGTGCTCCTGAGATTAAAAGGCTCTTTGTGTCTTTCATACAGATGTTACAGCAGCACTTCTTAACTCGCCTTACAGTCTTGGTTTTTACTCTGTATTATGAAGTCTGTAAGAGCTGCAAGATCTTTTCTGGTTTTCCTTTATAATGCTGCTAAACATTGTGTGAATTGTTTCAGATTGTGTTCCCTGTCTATTTGTACACTGCTGTTTAGGCTGGAGTATAGCATGTGTTTAATTTTTTCTTGGCCTCATTACGTTTCATTCCTTGCTTCACTGCATCATCTGTCTCGTTAGTCCATAAATCTGATCTATTCTAATCACTGCAAGTTCTCTGTTTCCCCTAGCTGTGTGTCACCAGCAACACTAGTCACTTTGGAAATTGCTTTCCTGAAAGGTCATTTTACAAAAGAGAGAGGAGGAGGAGGAGGCATTGTGCAGTGCTGCTGCATAAGGCTGGGGGCTGCAGGAATGCCAGTGAACGTGCCTGTGAACTCCTCTCTTCATAGGCTGTCACCTGATGAGATGTCACCAAGGAGAGTGCCTTGGGCCTCAAAAAAGTAGCATGGGGAAACTCTCTTGTGGGTTTGTGATCTGTATGCAGCATAAATACTGTGGGGTGGCCTGGTGATGGACAAGTTACCAGCTGGAACCCAGAGAAGAAATTCAGCTATAAAGCAGACTAAATAAAGAAGTAGAGTGGAGGAGAGTGGTGTGAGTTCTTGCTGATGCTTGTGTGATAAAAGGTGCTTGCATTTGAAGATGTCAATTATGGGCAATTTTTCCCTTGGTGTTGTGAGGTTTGAATTACTCAGAACGGTGTTTAATGATAAAATACTAAAAGCAGAACAAGTTCTGAGTAAACCACAGCTGACCAAGCCTTCTGATTAATAGGATTTTATCTGATGGACTATTTTAATGAAGGTGCTTCAAACATGCTGTGTAAAAGCCACGGATGTTTAAATTTGAAGGATAAACATTGTTCCTCATTCATCTCTCTCCATCTCTTTCTCTTCCCCAAAGGTCTCTTCCTGTGTGAGTCTCCTCCCCAGTGAGCAGTTCAGCTCACTGCCATCCACGAGTGGGGAGTGCTTTGAGAAGAGCCCACTGAAGGCCTGATAGGAAAGCCCTGAGTCACAGACCCAGCAAACCTCACCACAAACCAGCTCCTCACCATACACTGGTCTCGAATCTCCCTTGGGGCTGAACTTTGCTGCTTCCTGCTGTGCTGCCTGGAGCCTTTTCCACGTTAACAAAGGCTGATGGAAACCTGTGTCTAGGGGGTTTCTATCCCCTGTGGCCTCTCCCTGCGCTGGTCCCTGCCCACGGCGCGGCATCACCACGCACCAGATGCGCAGGCGGCTGCCAAGAGCTTCCCTCCCTGAGCACAGGTGCTCTCTTTCAAGAAAAAAGTAAGTGTTGGTCAGAACATGCTGGGAAAATGCGTTACTGTGTGTTCAAATAAAGAAAATGCTGCTCCTTGGGGGCAGGCAAGGACAGGGCGGTCGAAGAACTCTGGCAGTGCCTGTGTTGGGAACGTGCCACTGCCAGCCCACTGGCCTTAATTTGCCTCCCAGATGAAGGGGAGATGTGGTGAACCCAAGATTCTCTTTAGGAAGGTTTATTTGGTTTAAAATGCTTTGTTAGCAAATGCTGCTTCTGACTTCTTCTAACTTTTAACTAGCCTCAGTTCACCTCTGTCTTTATTTTAAATTCAAAGGTATTTTACCCAAGGTGTTCTCATCAGCCAAGCCACTACCCAGAGTAGTTTAGTGTTCATCTGTCTCATTTCTTTGCTGTCCAAGACGAATCTCAGGGGACTAAAGCTCTGAACCAAGTGGCTTCAGGCAATTCATCTGGAAAACAGAGCCACTTAGGCTTTTGTAAAGAAAATAATTTAGTAATCAGTGCAAGAGACTTGTCTCTAAGCCAACCCATTTGGAAAAATTGCCAGTGTAGTAACTACACAACATTTTATGACAATAATATTGATGATGTCTTCCCATTATTGCCAGAATTTCTTCATCCTTGAAACTACAGAACTGAACTGGTTTTGCATCATCTTCCTGCATGAGAAATGCTTTGTAATTTGAGATTGATGCTGCAGAGCTGGACATTGAGCAGAGACATTTTCCTGAGCATTTCCCTGCTGACCAGTGCAGAGGAAACCATTGGGAAGTGAGGAAGGCATTGTTGCCACTCTGCTGGCAGATGTGCCAGTTCAGTGCATTCTCACCCAAACACAGAGCTTTCTCAGTCTCTTGTACAATATCAGTAGGCCAATGTTTCTGTGCATTCTGCTCATTGCATATGTATTGTGACTCTTAAAACTTTTATCTAATCCCAGAGTTCAGGCCCTTATCTTACAGTTTTTCCTTTTTTATTTATTTATTTATTCATTTATTTATTTATTTATTCATTTATTTATTTATTTATTTTATTTTATTTTTTAGCTTTGCTTTTGTTTTGATTTATCCATGGTTTATAATATTTTGAAAGTATAAATATTAGGGTAAGAACAAAGTTCCTGTACCTGTACTAGTAAGATACTCATTGCTCTCCAGCAACAGTTACATGTTATTTAGGGCAAACTTTTGCAGGGGTTTGCTCTCCTGACTTTTTTTGCTTTGGGCCATGTGGAAAAGATGTGGGGCAAAAGATTCCCACAAAGTGGGAGCAGGGGCACAAGTGACATGGGCTCTAGCATTTCAAGCTCAGGGAATCTCCAGGCACCACTTTCCCCTGTAGTTCCCAGCAAGGCAGTCCAGGCTCAGCACACGTATCAAATCTACTTTTAGTTTTGCCAGCTTGGTTTCATGTGGTAAAGGTTACTGCCTAGTTAAATTAAATACGTAGAAAAATACAAGAAGGACCAGAAGTGATGTGCCTGGAGGCACTGGAGGCACAGAAGCCTTTATAGTGCCTTTCACTGGCTTGATTACATTTCTGGCAACTATTTTCAGTGTTGTTTTTGAGAAATGTTAGTGAGGAGGGAGCAAAAAGAAAATAATTCTAAATTGATGGGCCCTGAAGGCTCATCCAGAAGACTTTCACTATCTTCGTAAAAGCTCCTGCATACTTAATCTAAAAATTATAGCAAAATGGTTTATCTCCTTCTCATAGTCTTGCCTTTTAGCCTCTTGCTTTTTAATCTACTACCCTTGTCCCTTAAAATTCTATAAGTGTTTTGGAGTTTACATACTATAAAACAGGTAGGTACCAACCTTGAAGGATGTTTTGAGCAGCACTGTCACAGAAAGACACAATCTGCACACAAGGTCAAGGCCCCAGGGGGGTCTCACTGGAGACTGGAGACTTGTGAAGTCCCAGCAGCACATCCTGCTCTGATAGGTGGGAATGATTTGCCAGAATTTGACTAAGAATTCACGAGAAAATAACTTTCTGGTGGAGAAACAAAAGAGCTTTAACATCACCAACCCTTTATTTGTTGTGAGTTTTTACTAGTGAAGAATCGTACTTTTGGAGAGTGTAACTATTTTCATAAAAAATCCCTGGTTGCTCTCTAGCAATAAAAACACTGTGAAGAACCACCCAGGTTGCTTCTGGGGGAAGCATTTCTCTCTTTGACAGCTGCAGTAGAATTGTTTTGTGCTTTTCTTAGGAGAGAAAAAGCCCCCCCATACCTACCAGCATGCTCCATATGATCACCTACAGGATTTACCATCTGCCCTGCTCATCCCCTGGTGGGTGGGAGGTGAGGATGTCCTGCTGTCAGTGTTCAGAGACCAAGAGGAGGGGAAACCACCTCCAGTTGGATTTTATAAAAAGCTATTTGTTTCTGAAAGTGCCAGCAGATTTAAATTACTGCTGCTGTTGTCAACAAGTTCCCCCTGCATATTCTGTAATGATTAAGGTCCTTGGAGGTTGTGGATCACTTATGTTTCTCAGTGTAGCTACAGATTGTGAACATAAGGGTTGCATCAAGCAATTTAAATAATTAATTGAAAGGCAGAGGTTCCTTTCCTTCTGTGTACTTTGCGTAGGAAAATTCCTGCTGACTCCACATTTCTCGCTGCTGAGGAAGATAACCTGGTCAGGTAGCTCAGTGTTAACTCCAAACTTGCCAGCTTTTTCACCTGACATAAAGTTGCTCTCAGAAACAGCTCCTGCCTTGCTGCTACCAGTGCCCGAGCCAGAGAGTTTGATGACTTAATCAGCGTGTTATTCTATCAGGAACCATTCGTGGATTTGAATCTGATGTAGGATGATAATTTCTGTAATGAAAAGAAAAAGTTAATTTTCTCAAATTCAAAACATTCCCATCATAAAACAGCCTATGACCTGTTCCTGATTTGCTCTGAATCCTAGCCTAAGCAGGTGGTGCACCTAATCTGAACTATGCAGAGAATTGACTTTGCTCTTATTATTTGCAGCAAATTTTCTTAGAACCTGATGGTAAAAAAAAAAATCAGGACAGTTTTGGTGTTTTTTTGGTAAATCTTAAAACCCTATCCTTATTTCTTTGTAGTTTATTCTTCATTATGTGATTACTTTCTGTACAGAAAGAACCATGCAGCAGATGTTTGGGGTTCACCTTCCAAAAATCTGAGAGATAAAATTAAGGGTCAAAACCTTAGACAGACCTGGGTAACACCAACAAACCATAGTGTTTTCTGATCACTTCTAGTTAGGGCTCCTTATTTCTATCCTAAAAAGAAAAATAAATGAAAACAAAAATATATAATCTTGGACTTTTCTAAAGGAAATGCAGCTGAAGAAATATCTATATAGAAAGTGGTTGGGGAAACTTCTTGCAGCCTCACAATTTTGGAAACATAAGAAGCAGGACAATAATCTGCATAAAACAGGTCCGGTCTTTATGCTTCAGTGAAGTGATGCTGAAAACTTTTAGCTGATACTGTGAGTCATCCATTAAACCCAAGGGGAAACAATGGACACTTGGAGGCTTTAGGGTGTTTTTGTGCAGCAAAAGGGATTAATGCAAGGAAAAACTATGAAATGGCTGATTTTAAGACTTCAGGGAATTTGGGCAGTGCTCTACTTTGACAAAGAGCAGATCCAAGCTATGATAAGTCCATTACCAGAGAAATCACATCCTTCTGACGTGTACCTGGCTCAATAAATGCTGCCTGAAACACAGTCAGAGCCCATTACTCTCCCTTGACTGGTGTCTGTGCTCAGCAGTGCGGATGGGTACCTTCTCTCTTGTCTTTTTGAGAGTTTATGGGTTACAGAATAGCTCTTTCATGGCCAGTGAAAGCAGAGGAGCTAAATACTCAGCAGTGATTTTTTTGGAACTGGGCTACTGAGTTGCAGGTTGGTTTTGTGCCCTTCCTGTGTTCCAGCTCCCTTCTCATAGTGAGACCAAGTCAATCAGAGCATCGAGAGGGTTCAGGCTGCTCATGTGCCCAATATTGACAAAGCTTTATTTCTTAAGAAGAGGGGAAAGTGTGAGTCCCTCTGCTCCATTACAAAGACCTTTGCTTTTTAAAATAAGCAGAGATGTGCTTGTTTACTTTTTTCCCCCTGGGATTAAATTTCATAGAAACTCTTTACTGCTGCATTGAATTAAAAGCTTCTGCTCTCTGTATTTTTATAATATTACAGAAAGCCCTTATCTGGTGACTTCTAAAAGAGATTTTTCATCCAAATTTAGCTTTTACTGTTCTTGACTCTAGCTAGTATTAAACACTTTGATAGGTCCAGTATATTCAGGGGTTTGGAAAATGTAGATTGAATATTATTGACCTTTGATTTGGGAGAGCAAGTCCATTAGATATTGCAGTTTTTTGTTGGTGGCTTTTTTGTTTGGTTTTTTTTCCCCCAAAATTTCAGTTGCAACAAAGTGAAAGTCAGCTTTTCATTTTATATGACCCTTTATTACCTGGGCTGCCTTCTAACCTTGTTCTCCGTGATTTTATATTCCTGCAATTCCATTGCACTTGGAGTAGGTGGGACCAAACCCAGGACTGTTGTGCTTATCCTGAGGACCTTGAGAACAATCTTGCTTTTCATGTCTCAAAGAGGTTAACACTTGGTTTTGAATCCTGACCTGTGTGTACAATTTAAGTACTAATTTAGCTGCTAGACTGCTCTGAAGCTTCAGCATTAATCAGGAGATAAGCAGTAATCCTGCCTTTCACAAACTTTTTTAAGTTTACAGAATTACAGAGCAGGGAAATTTCTTGATCTTATTAACAAGGAAAACAAGAAGCTTAAAGCTGACCCAAAAGCAGTGTTGTTGGCTTGTTTGGTTCCAGGCTCTGCTCGTAGAGTGCTGCCTCAGTTTGCAAGCAAGGACACGAAATGTACCTCATTCACACCAGCAGATTTGCCCCAGTCTCTGCTGGGAAGACTTGGACAGTCACATTTCTTCTCTTCTTTAGTTTCTCCCCAGTATCTTCCTGACTAAGAGTTCCCAATTACATTC